AGACAGGATTGTAAGTTTCATTCGTCTAGTTTCTGTTTTAATTTGTTTGTCCATGTACAAACTTACTAATTAGAGTCTCGAATTTATGCAACATATCAGCGTGATAATGCTTTAACCACTGCCAATCAGTCATTCCACCTACAACAGCAACCTATACACACCTGTTGAGCAACGGAAGTGGTCATTCGAAAGTGTAAAACGGCATTGTGCTACCACAGAGTATTTGAGTCAAGACAGAATGTTTTTTTTTCCCCTAAACCTTTTGCTAGTAACAAACTTCAATCTCTTCTCTATCAAATCTGTAAAATGTTTACCAAATCTTGACCATTACCCTTTTTTGTGATTATCTTTTATTGTGATTTTTATTATGGCTGTTCATCTTTTTGACTACTATGCAGATAGTGACATAAGTTCTTTAGTCTATAAACCTTTATCTGATTATTGCTATGTTTTGTAGGCGGATTTTATGGAACACCTGTCAAAGCATTGCTTGGCACATGGATGAAGTGGTTTTAACCAGTGGAGCACAATGTGGCTTAATTTCCAGATGGTTACTTTTATCCAGTTCAGCTGATTGATAAACTTCAAGAACTCTTATGGAATGGATTATTTGATGGTGTGTAAACATATCATCAGACGCAGCTGTTTCAACTCTCAATCAAATTTGACAGCTTGACAGGCTAAGAAGGATACACATGCAACTAAATTTGATCTGATATGCAGGTTGATACAAACAACATGGCATCAACCTCTGCAGTTTCTTAATTCCAATCGGTTTGAGTGAAAATCCAGCTGAGAACTCTCTCTTAAGGTGTTTTATCTTTAAATTTATCGAATTCCAGTTGTACTGCAGGGATTTAAAACTGATGTCTGTCTTTTTTTTTTTTTTTTTTTTTTTTTTTTTTTTTTTGGGGGTGTAGACAACAGAAATGTGAAATAGATTATGAGAGCATCTGGCAACTGGCAAGCGGTTCCATTATGCTCGCTTTGATGGTTGTCTGTAATTTGATATTACATTCATTCAGTTCTGGAATATACATTATCCTAAAACTTTTGTATTCAAGAGAGTTACTTACAAGTTTAAGAGAAATTCAGTTACAATTGGATTCCTTAATAGTGTCATCCCAATCCCATGGATCCCATAGAAAGAAAAAGTGGAACTTCTATAATTTTGAAACTTAAAAAGAGTATTTCTTTCCATGTTGCTTAACAAGCTGGGGGTGGTCATATTCAAACTTGCTGTGGTTTTATGCCAGGAAGGATTAAATCACAGCTGCTTATGTGGTACGAAATCTGAGGCTAAGTCAGAATTTCATTAGTGAATCTGGAAACTGAAATTTCGAGAATAATTTCCAGTTCTTGCTTGAAATTTATGTAGGGTAAGCTCTGCTTCCTTTATTCTTCTAATTGTTTTCTCTTCATTTCCTATTAGAGAACATTCTCAATTGGAACATCATTGATTGATGGAGATCCAAGCCAAAGCATGTGCTTCTCTTTGGACAAAAAGGTTTTTATTGGGAAAAAAACAAACATTAATTGTCTTTTTAACAGGCAGTATCATTGTTTTATTGTTTTCACTGAGTTGACAATTCATGCATTGGGGTATAGGTTAATCATATCATCCACCAAGATCCTTTAAACTTCTTGAGCGCCCTTCGAACATGCAAACGTAATTTATTTATTTTTCATTTTGAAATCTTTATACGGCTAACACAATTTTATGACACAAATTGTATGAAGGATGAATCTTACAATCCCAATGACCAAAATCAGTTCTTGAACATTTATAAAAAGGTTAAGGGTTATTTTGACTTTTCTTGTGATTGTAATTCCAGGAGCTAGTGAATATGCCATATACTTATAGTATATATTGTTATAACTTCATTTTATTTTAGGTCAGAAATTGCATAGAGAGATCTACAAGAAGATTATTGAAAGATCAGAGATCAAATTACCATTGCCAGAGTTAAGGATTTAGTTATTTACACTTAGGATCTTGCATATCTTTTTCGTAGCCAGTCTCAAGTGTTTCTACAGTCCTAAACTTAAAGAATGTTAATCTTAATGAGTCAGGTATATGAAACTTTTATCCTTACGTAATAGGTATCTTTGAATTTAATTGAACAATTTGCTATTGCACTGCTAGCATGGTCTGGGGCCGACGACTCATCAAATATCAGGAACCTGGAGTCTGAAAATTGGAGCAAGTGTTGAATAGTTTCTCGTTAGGCAAATAGGTGGTAGTAATATTGGGTAACTTAGATTCTAACTGCAATGGTATCACTTCGACTCAAGTGCTAAATCAACACAGAACATAGAGGCCTGTAATTGTGTGAAAACATCAATATCATTCTTCTTATGTTTCTGTCAATCTAAAGTTGGTTTAAAGATTTTTTGCAGAGGAAGAAGAAGGGTGATCTAAACAACATAAACTTGCTTTGCATTTGTCTTTACCAAGACAAGAATGTTCCTAGATTTCTAGAAGACAAAGAATATGTATTCTTATAGAATAAAAAATGTTGTAAGGATGGAACCAGAAGGCTGAGAGCAAGCAAACGCATTTCTTCAACATCAATTACGATACCTCCCTTCGGCATATATAAATTCCTTCTTCTTTTTCACTTTTTCAGTAATTAATATGATGTGACGAATTCGGTAATCGACCCTCTGGTTATACAATGTCTTCCGGATTCAGTAACCGCAATGCTCCTCTTATACTGTGGATTAATATGCTCAAGGAATACTAACATTAGTTAGAAATAAGAAATAAGAATAAGTTGTAATTTGAATGTAAATTCAAGCCAGTAATGGTACGGTAAGTTAAAGAACATAAAATTGGTGAAGGTAAAATCAAATAGCCGAAGCTAATTAAGCCTTAATCAATACAAATTGGAACAATTCAATTCAAAGTCAAAGTTAATATTAAGGGCATTTATAACTGCTTTTGTGGATTACGTGATTGTTTTTAAGGATTTATTTTTATATGCTAAAATTAAGTACCTGATGTTAATCCTCGTTCAAGCTTAAAAAAGCGTACGTGATCTTCTCTGTTGAAGACAAGAATATTTGATTTCGAATACTTTACAGATTCGAAGTCTGACCATGTTATAATAGAAAAGACATGAAGCAAGCTGAGAGCAAAGGCAATGAAGAAGAAAGGATGCTTTTGGATGCTTCACCATTATCTTCTTGCCTAAATGAATATAAAAGATTATTTTTATACAGAATAAAAATTCCATACCAAGAACATTAATTTGTTAAGAAAAAGAATGAGCATTATTTTCAATATCAATTCTCAACCGTACTTCTCAATCATTCCCTTTCTTTGCTTTATATATTCCTTCTGTTTTAGTACTTTTCTTTTAAGGGAGACAAACCAGTCATATCAGAACAAGAATATTTCCATAAATCTCTTCTACAGATTCTAACTCATAACATTATTTAAAGAAAAGATGAGTCTTGTAACAAGGATGGAACCAAGCAACCTTGAAGAGCAAAGGCAAATTAAGGATGAATCAATTACATACCGTTCTCTCTCATTCAGATTCTTGCTTTTTATGCTGTTATCTTCACAGCACACAACCATTCATTCTTTCATTAACCCTTTCATCTGATTGTGTTTTCCTCTTATCGTTTAAAACTAAACCCAAACATCTTCCACAAATCCTTGCTTCAAATCTGCATTTAGTTCAACCACTCAACAGAATTCTCTCATACCCAAAAAATTAAAAAAAAAAAAAAAAAAAAAAAAAAAAGGCCATGGAATTTGTTCTTTAATTGCCGAGAAGGTCGTGGACTATTTGTTTGTAGTCGTGGGCGGTCAATCTTGGTTACTTGGTTCATTACAACGACAACATTAAAAACTTGAAAAAGCAAGCTAAGAAGCTGGCAGATAGCAGAGACATGGTGCCACAGAAATCGAAATTTGCTGAAAGGAAATGGAGAAAAGAAGAAACCATCTTCGCTACTGTTCAAAGCTGGATAGCAGAAGCGGATAAGATTTCCGCAGAACTGAAAAGTTTGGAAGATGACAAAAGCCAACAAGAGTGTCTCAAAGGGTGGTGCATTAATCTCAAACAACTTATCGATTTAGTAAGGAGGCAAAGAAGCATTCTCGGAGATTTCTAATCGGCTCCAAGAAATGGAAAGTTTGAGAGTGTGTCTTGTCCTGCTCCTCCGGCTGGAATTAGATCGTCATCAATTATTTCTTCAGGCACTTTGAATCTAGAAATTCAATTAAAAAGCAAATCGTGAAGGTGCTAATTGATGATTATCAAATGTCAGCATAATATTGGAATATGTGGGATGGGCGGCGTGGGTAAGACCACGCTAGTTGAAAGAAATTGCCAACAAGCAAAGAAGAAAAGAATATGAGAAGTAGTGATGGGCGGTTGCTCTCAAACCCCGAGTATTATGAAGATTCAGGCGACATTGATGACATGTAGGTGTAACAAAGTCTTTGCCGACTAATTCTGAATTAGCAAGAGCAGTTCTTGTGGGACAGAATCAAGGAGGAAGAAGCCACATCCTGGTAATATGGATGACATTTGGGAAGAATGAATTGAATGACATGGTATTCCTCTTGGGAATGATATCGGGTTGTAAAATTGTATCACCCTCGAAGCAAAACTGCGGTACCTCAAATGACTTGTCAAAAATATTTACAGTTGAAGTTTTATCGAAACAAGAATCTTGGGTTCTTTTTAGAGAAATTGTTGGCTCGAATGTCGAAAAACTGAAATAAACCCAATTGCAAGAGATGTTGCTGCTAAAGTGATGGCTTGCGCGTTGCTATTGGACAATAGCAAGAGCATTGAAGGACAAGAACACTACTGTTGGAGGATGCTTTGCGACAACTTAAAAGGTCCACCCAACAAACATCCCAGGAACGGAAAAAAAACATTATTTCCTCTCTGGAATTGAGGCTTCCCACTTATCTCACGGCATCTCTACCTGCTAATTCTGAAATAGAAAGAGCAAGTTTCTTATCGGGGAGAATCATGGACAAGAAGCGGATTCTCGTAATACTAGACGATGTTTGGAGAAAAATAAAGCTTGATGATATTGGTATTCCTTTTGGAGAAAACCATAGAGGTTGTAAAATTGTAATCACCTCTCGAAGCATAAACGTCTGTGATCAAATGAATTGTCAAAAGAAATTTATAGTTGAAACTTTGTCAAAACAAGACTCTTGGGCCTTATTCAAGGAGCTGGCTGGCGCAGTTGTTGAAACTACTGATATAAATCCAATTGCAAGAGATGTAGCTGCTAAATGTGGCGGTTTGCCGATTGCGATTGTCACAGTAGCAGGGGCCTTAAAGGGGAAGAACAAGCATGTGTGGAGCAATGCGGCACGACAACTTCAAAAGTCCAACCCAACAAGCATCCAAGGAATGGAGGGAATCGTGTTTTCATCTTTGGAACTGAGCTTCAATCATCTAGAAAATGTGGAATCAAAATCACTTTTCTTATTTTGTAGCTTATTTCCAGAGGACTACAGCATTTCAGTTGAAGATTTGGTTAGATATTGGATAGGCTTGAGGTGGTTTGGAGATACCGATGAGGCAACAGAAGAAGCTAGAGACAGAGTACATGCAATTGTAATTACCATCACCTCTTATTTTCTTTTAATTGATGATGGTGAAAAGTTCGTTAAAATGCATGATGTTGTCCGTGATTTTGCAATAACTATAGCCCCTAAATACAACCATAAATTTATGGTAAAAGCTGGAATTGGTCTAAAAGAGTGGCCAAACATAGATACATTTGAAGATTTCACATGTATCTCATTGATGGTAAATTATTTTAGGGAGCTACCTAGTGGGTTGGAATGTCCAAAATTGCAGGCTTTGTTACTGCAGAATAATAATTTTCAGTTAGTTGTCCCTAGTAATTTCTTTCAGGGTATGAAAAATCTTAGTGTTTTAGATTTGAGTAACAATGAACTGTTGTCATTGCCTGAATCACTTTCATTTCTCTCAACTATTAGAACACTAAATCTTACAGGTTGCACATTGGGGGACCTATCAGTGATTGGAAGTCTAAGTAAACTAGAGATTCTTAGCCTTTGCGATACTAATACTAAAGAGATCCCTGTATCCTTTAACCAATTAAGTAATCTTAAGTTGTTAAATTTGAATTATTGTAAACAGTTAACACTAATACCTCATGGTGTTATACACTCTCTTACAAAGTTAGAGGAGTTGTACATTGATAGATTTAGGCAATGGGAATATGAAAGTGAGAATTTGAAAAGCAATGCCAATCTTGTTGAGTTAGAAGCCTTGTCCCGATTCACTCATTTAGATGTTTCTATTTCAAACCTTGACTTCTCACCAAAATTGTCGGTATTCCAAAATAACCTATCTAACTTTACATTAAGAATAGGTTATAGTGAATATTTTTATTATTATTTGGATGAGAGTAGATACTCAAGAAATATGTATGTCTCAAAAACCAACATTTCAAAAATACGTGATTGGGTTAAAGGTTTGCTCAAAAGAACCGAGTGGCTATAGTTAGAGCAAATTGCTAATTTAGAGAGTATTAGCCATAACCTAGTTGAAGAAGGGTTCAATGAATTGAAGTATCTTAATATCAGATCATGTGATCAGATAAAGTATCTCCTAAATACAATGGAATGGACACTAAACTCAACTTTCCACAATTTAGAGGAATTGCATATGCATTCTAACCCTAACTTGGTTGAACTATGTCATGGGCAACCTCCAGCCCCATCTTTTAGTAAATTAAAACGTTTAACAGTGTCTGGGTGCCCCAACATGTTAAATGTTGTACCAAGTCTACTCCAAAGCCGTATTTGTCTGGAAGAAATAGTTATACTTAATTGCGATAATTTAGAGATCTTTGAGAAGAAAGAAGCTTTGGATGAGGAGTTAGACCACACCATAACCTCCCCAAGTTTGGGAAACCTAACTTCTATAAAGATAGATTCATGTCGTAAATTAAAAAACCTCTTCACCCCTTCCATTGTCAAATGCCTGGTAAAGCTCAAAAGGCTTCGAATAGCTTCTTGCTCAACAATAGAAGAAATAGTCACAAATGAGAAAGGAGAAAAAGAAGCATCAATAGAGAGGATAGTGTTTCCTAGTTTGGACTACTTGGACCTTTAATTTCTAGACAACCTCACTTGTTTTAGCTCTGGATCATATACTATTGAATACCCAGCATTAGAGAGGCTATGGTTATTTTTATGTGTAAAAATGAAGACCTTTGGTTATGGAGAGCAAGTGACACCCAAGCTTAACCAAGTGTTTGTAGGAGAGTGGGATGAAGAACGTTGGAATGGCAACTTGAATGCCACAGTGCAAGATTACTTCAATGAACAGATATGTAGTTAATGATGAAAGAGCTACATTACATGTTGTAATTAATATTGTAAAGTTTTACCATTTTGCATTGATGATCTTTTCATTGATGCACTTTATTTGAATTAAATGTATATAAATATGACATTAAATTCAACAGAGTAACCCTATCCCATTGTTTTAAGATTTGAGATACAATGAATAAGCTTATCAACATTCATGCCTAGCATATTAAAAGCTAACAGTGGCCGGTTGGTAATGTTTTTGACTTTTTATATGCAATCTTTTTCACAAACAGGGGGATGTGATTGTTCTTTCTCAGGTTTCTTTATGTTTCTAGTTTGTGATTGTTTTTAAACACAATACTTATAGCTGCTACTTTACACAACCAATTAAACAAACATTTGCCTCATACTAAACCTTCTTTTCGAAATTCACTCTCAATTCTTACCCAAAAATGAAACACAAAGTCCACACTAAATTGACTGTTTTATAATTAATTTTTCAAATAAGTTGTTTTCATTATTTTTTTTAAATCTCTTAATCCTAATAAATAATTTTGTTTCTTTTCTTAATAAAATTATAATAAGTTCAATTTATTTTGTGAATATTGTTTTCATTTCTCTTTTTCTTTTAATCTATATATTAAATAATAAATCTTATTATATTAATTGTGTGATAATTTTTTATATTCTATATTTGAAATTATACATTTTAAATAATAAAGTTCAAGGGGTGTTTATTATTAATAAGCTTATAGTTTTTGTAGACGAATCAGACAGTAGAATCGGATTCAAGTAGAGAGTGAAAATGGTATAAATCATGTTATATAATAAATCTCATTATATTAATTGTGTGATAATTTTTTACATTCTATATTTGAAATTATACATTTTAAATAATAAAGTTTAAGTGGGTATTTATTATTAATAAGTTTATTGTTTTTGTAGGCGAATGTGACAGAAGAATCGGATCCAAGTAGAGAGTGAAAATGGTATAAATTATGGTTTAAAACACAAAAAATTGTGATAATTTGATTTGCTTAATAGTTCATTTGATTGTGAATATATTCAATCTTGATGGATACTGTTTTTATTTTTTATTTTTTAAAATAAAGCTCATATTTAATTATCAATTAAAATATTCACATAAAAAAATTAGTTTATACCTTATATTAAATTTTAGTGTATTTTAGTAATTATGTTTACATAATTAATTTTTTATTTGAAAATCTTCCTATAGTACATAACCACGTTTCAAAATATTCTTATTTTTTTAATTTTTAAAAATTCTAGGAATTGAAATTAGAATCTCTTAAATTGTAAAAAGAATTTTATTTTTTTCATTTTTAAAAATTTTAGGAATTGAAATTAGAGTCTAAACAAGAATTACTCTCCACCGCACGCGCCGCTGCTCTATCACCTCTTCCACGCGACGCTACCACCACCAGTACCGTCAGAGTCGCCCTACTTCAAGCACCCGCCGATGGGTTCTCGTTTCTTCCACTCCGGCTCAATAGACGACGGATCCCGGCGGAGATCGTTAACATTTGTGACGGAGTGATTGGCTGTGGTGAAGAGTCGATTCTTCCTGTTCAAACATCCTTACCATAATCTCTCTGGCTTCCCTTGGTAAAGCTTGCTCTCTCTAGCTTATTTTGTGTGTAAATGTGTTTCATAAAGAGGAAAATTGTCACAAAGCGCTATAAAATTGTAAACATTGTTATAGATAGGAACTTCTTTGAAATGTTATTTTCTTCTTTTAAATTCTTTTATATCTTCCTTTTCATGGTGAATGAAATTCACTCTTGAGATGTTTTGTTTTAATTAGTTGGTGTATAAGGACTTTTCAGGTGGGTAATTACTGCTACTTCGACTTTGGCATTCAGACTTGCGTTGCTTCCTGTTGTTGTTTTGCAGCTTCTTAAGCTGCGAAAGATAGAAGAGTTATCTCCCAAATGTAAGTCTGCTTTTTCGTTTCACTTGCAATTTGTTTGTAGCTCTAGTTACTTCCGTTCTTTGGAGTTCTAGTCAGTACACATTCGCTAGAGAATAAAACTTGAAAACACAAATGCAGTAGTGTAAATTCTACTATATGCTAGTTTCATTCTTGAAGGTGTGATATCATATTGTGATAAGGTGGACCGAAGAGGATATCTGGATTAGGATTTGTAAAACCTTATGTATTTGTGGAATTTTTAAGTTATGCTGGGATTACTGGCTTGTTAATAATTAATGAGAGGTTGTCAAGCTACATGAACTATTAACAAATTAAGTTTAGTTGGCATATTTTACCAACTTGAGTGTAGAGCGTGGCAGAATATTGTTGATTTTTTTTGTTTTTGCTTCACCTTGATGGGTATGTTGTGGTGTCCTTAAAGCCTGTATCTGATGTATAGACTCCTGATCATGATTTGTTTGTTAAAGGAGTAGGAGTAGAAGTAGGTTTTGGGGTCAATACATAAAGAGAGAAGGAAGGAATGATTCTTCCTTGAATTGAATGTTTCTTCCAAAAAATCATCTATTTGATGCTCAATGTTGTATCATTGTCTTTGATGCCGTCAAGGTTGGTAAGGGCATTTATGCACACAATGGTCCGTGTACCAGTATAAGTTTCTGTTTCTGTTGTTCTTGTGTTTTTTTGGAAGACATTCCAAGTGAGGCTGCAATACTTATTATGAATTGTCTGATATGTGGAGATATTTATTCTTCTTTTCCTGCACAGAATTATGAAATTCAAACTTGCCTCAGACGTTGAGAGTCGTATGTAATTCTATTCATCGTCCTTATTAACAGTTGGATACTAGATCATTCTTCTGGAATTCTTGCAGGGTCATTCTCCCTCCCCCTTTCATTGTTGTTCATATATTTAATTTGCAATAAATTTTTTTTTTTTGACTCTCATATGCACTTCTCACAGTGCCTCCTCCATTGCCACCACCTCAGTCAGGAAGGAGTTTCATTGATCAAATTTCACTTTTTTCGAGGGAAGCAAAAGCGAGGGGGTGCCCCTCATTTCTGTGGTTCCTTGCCTCCTTGTCCATCCAGGTGACACAGCTATATATATTGTGTAAATAACTTTACCTTTCTTCTCCCATCTCAAGCCAAGACACACAGACATAGAAAGAAATACACATCTTCTAACTGAAAGAAATAGATAGATGTTGGGTTAGAGGATTTTGAGTTAGATTCAAAAGCCTGGAATCTATATAGAGAGCCAGTTATTTCTGTACTATTATTGTTTTCTTTGCTTTTATTTTTTTTCTTAATTCTTTTAGTATTTTGATATATTTGTCTTCTGTCTTTTAGGCTGAAACTTTAAACAACAGTAGCCTATTATATAGTTTGGTTGAATAAATTTTGTACTTATTTATTTTGTTGTGTTTTGTTCAATTCTTCAGGTCCCATGTTTTCTCTTAGGTGTGACCAGAATTCGGAAAATGTCACTGGAGGGTCATGCAGGGTTTGATCGTGTAAGGCACTAACATGCTTAAATATTTGTATAGAACAATAAATATATATGTATTAATGCTTACTATAGTAATATCGTCTTTATGTATTCATAGATTAATATCGTTGAGAGTTACCAATCTTGTTATTACTTTCTTTTGGATTACAAATGACTTGATATGTTTCTGAACCATACAATTTGGCCATGCTTCTTGCAACATGCAGCATAAATTTTATAATGATGACATATGACAATTACACATCTTATTTCTATAGTTTTTGTTGGTTCTCATCTTATTAGTTTTATAGTGAATGAAACAGTTTACAATTCTTAATTTGGTTGCCAAGATCTCTGTTTTATCTTTAATATTCTCATCAATGAAACTCTTTTTGCTTTTCATTCCCCTGCATATGTCTCATTTTTTTTTTTTGAATGTGATGTTTTTTGCTATAGGAGCATAGAATGTATGATGCTCTGTCCATGGAATTTATTGCAGGGTGGGACTTTGTGGTTCCAGAACTTGACTGAATTCCCTCATGGTCTTTTAGGCNTTTTTTTGGTCAGGAGTAAAGTTCGTCGGGATCATGTACTCTCAACCGAAGCTCAAATTTGTGATTGATAGTTAAAAAAAATAATGGAAAAAAAAAATACTAGCCACACGATATTAAATTATGATATTTGATAAAAGATTACGTAAAATAAGATAAGAGATGAAAGCTACTTCTTGATAGCTCAGTGGTTCGATACATACTCTTAGATTTATTATTTAAGATGTTTTGAATTTGAGTCTTTCTTCAATTACTAATATGGGTAGTTATTAGAGTTCTTATCTAATCGATAGTTCCAAGATCTTGAAGGATTAGTTGAGGTACACATAAATTGATCAAACATCTTAGTCATAAAAAAAAAAATAAAAAAAAAGGATAAAGGCTAATCAAATTCTAATTTTAATAGTTAAAGTTCAACTATTCTTTCAGAATATTAGCTACTAATTTAAATTGTATGGTACATAAAGAATGAATGAATTAAAATTGACGAACTAAACTAATTAAGATCAATTTATTAAATTAAATGCACACAGTAATACGTCATGTGATTATTAAAGCAATGTTTTTATACTTTTACAATTAATACGTACGCGCACACACACATGTACTCATGCACGCGCGTACGCCTTTGATCTCTGCATGTTATATATATATATATTATAAAAGGATTTTCAATGTTCTAAACACCTCTTCTCTTCCTCGCTTTCTCAGACTCCAGTTGCTGCTCCATGCCCAACTGCTTAGTTAATCTGGTAAAACTGTGGAAAAAATTATACCGTCGGATAGGGCCATTTGTTGTGGACGCTCCACCAATCAAACAAGATTTGCCTGGCTTCTTTCGGTAGTGTTCCTTTTTTCTTCTTCTTAGAAAACTCATGCTTCAAGGTGCTAATATAACCACCATATTTATGGAAGAGTTTGTCCTTAAGCTCACGGTCCACGGGTGGCGTCCGGGAACATTCAGGAGCCTCACTCTCACCCCCACTATAATCTTCATCAGCTGATCCAACACCTTCATCTACCAACAAGATAGATATTAATAAATAAGAAAATGCCAAACATCCTAAACATATTCATTTACTTCTGCATTGTCCACGTTAAAGAATCATGCATGAGAGATGCTTATTTTTCCACTCAAATACTTATCCATGTAGTTTTCCCAAACCTGCTAATCCGTAGAAACAGTTCTGGAAAAAACAAACATTTAAAAAATTCAATTGAAAGCTTCAGCCTGCAAGTGCTTCATATATTGCCCAGAAAATGAAGCCAAGGAAAACAGAAATGCTTAGAGAGTTATCAAAATCCCTGACACCACAGTCATTATTTGAGGCAGTGAAATGGACTGCACCACTGGCAATGAAGGCGAAGAAAGTGAGAGGAGATGGGTCTGTGAAAACAAAACAATTAGATGGAAATGGACGCCCATCCTTACACAATGGACGGGCGTCCATTCCAGATTTTTTTTTAAATTTTTAAATTTTTTATTTAATTTACCAATAAATGAGGACGCCCGTCCCTAGTAAATGGACTCCTGTCCATATAATATGGACGGGAGTCCATGTTAGTGAACGGCCGTCCATATGTTATGGACGGCCGTTCATTAGAAAAAAATTTAATAAGGTAAAATACGTTGATTGGTCTGAGTCAGTATACACGTAAGCCGGTACAAAATTTCGGTGTAAAAACGCTGGTGTTTGTAGCATTGTTGTTCCCGCACCTCTCCCAAGTTACTTTTTTTTTTTTTAACCCGCACCCATACCACCCCCAACTTACTTTTTCGAGGAATCTCCACCCCGTTCAGGGCAAGGCTCCAACAGGGTGGCTCAAACATCCATCCCTAATTAGATTGACTTCTATCAAGAAACTGGGATTTTAAGAAATGAAAATCAACCCAGACATTTTACAATTGGACACAGTTTAGAAAACAAAGTCTAAGCATCCGGTTGAAGTGTTGAGAAAATTTCTTTCCNTCCTCATTAACAGTTGGATACTAGATCATTCTTCTGGAATTCTTGCAGGGTCATTCTCCCTCCCCCTTTCATTGTTGTTCATATATTTAATTTGCAATGAATTTTTGTTCGACTCGTATGCATTTCTCATAGTGCCTCTGCCATTTCCACCACCCCTGTCAAGGAGGAGTTTCATTGATCAAATTTCACTTTTTCGGAGGGAAACAAAAACAATCGGGTGTCCCTCATTTCTGTGGTTCCTTGCCTCCTTGTCCATCCAGGTGATACAGCTACATATATTGTGTAAATAACTTTACCTTTCTTCTTCCATCTCAAACAGAGACACACAGACCTCGAAAGAAATACACATCTCCTAAATGAAAAATATAGATAGATGTTAGCCAGTTATTCCTGTACTATTGTTGTTTTCTTTGCTTTTTATTCTTTTAGCATTTTGATCTGTTTGTCTTCTGTCCTTTAGGCGGAAACTTTAAGCAACAGTAGCCTAGTATCTAGTTTGGTTGAATAAATTTTATTACTTAGTTTTTTGTCGTGTTTTGTTCAATTCTTCAAGTCCCATGTTTTATGTTAGGTTTTACCAGTATTCAGAGAATGTCAATGGAAGGTCATCCAGGGTTTGATTGTGTTAGCACTAATTTAGAAGTAATTAATTATTTTATAAACTATAACCATCCAAAATTAAGTCTAAATAAAATCTCCTAAATGTGATTGATTTTGTAGGAAGAAGAAGACAAGAAAAAGAAGACGAAGAACTTCTTTTGAAAGATATTAAGATGTTGATGCAAGAGATTGTAATAATTTGATTTGTATATATATTTTTCACAAATATTAATGGTGTGTAAAAGCTTTTTTATTTATTCTTTGTAATTCATGCATAATCATTTTTCTCCTTTTTGTTTTTTTATTGTATTTAATCTTATTTGAGAGATAAGGCTCATTACGTCCCCCTCTGTCTAGGTGTTATTTTTTTTTTCAATTAATAAAATTTTCCTCGTACCATCGAGGTTTGCTTAAAAAAAATTAATAATATAATATTTTATTTACAATATAATTAAAATTTACTTATTATAAATTCGGTGTATGACACTTTTAACCTTATTGTCGTAAAAGATATTTAAAGTCAAATATGTTATTATATCCAATTCACATGAGAATATTTTTCAATGAATATGCCTTGAATGTGATAACAAACACATGAAGTAGATATGCATTCAATCGAAGAAACTTGTTGTCAGCCCCAGAGAATTCTGGGAACTCAAATCAGAACTCCATAAAGAATAGCACCACCAATACCAAAGAAGATAAGCTTAATTTCTTTAGGTTTAAACTTAAAATACGAACAGTTATATAAAGTGAGCTAGTTAACGATGTTTTCTAGCTGACTCAAACAGATGGTTCATCACTTTCTTACGGTGCTGAGACATCTGCACTACTACAAAATAACTATATATAGATATATAAAAGTGAAACTTAATATGAGATAGAACAAAAACAGTAATCAGTTCTTCATGTTCATGTTTTTCTTCACTTCCTCAGCATGTTGTTTGACGGTTTCCTTGGACGCTTCAGCATTGCCCATCAATGATTCTTTAGCTTTCTGAGTTGTATCCTTAGCTGAACCCCATGGTCCTTCCAGTGTTTGTTTTGCCTTCTCAGAAACATCCTGTGCTGTTTCACCCACCTGTCCAGCCATTTCTTTGCATTTTGATTCATCTACACAAATATTTTCACCAATTATATGCTTATAGAATTTGCGAAAATTCAATTCAATTCAAGTTGCATTGAGTTTTATATATTTAGTCTTTTGATCACCAATAGAAACATTGACTATCCCGATATACGATGGGCGCCGGCGTAATCGTTTCCTACATCAACGTCTACCTAATCTGACACAATACGAAGCGTTAAAATGGCCACCTTACCATAGGACAAGCCCCAGGTTCTTCAATATACTTGATTTTTTTTTTAATTTGTTATTTAAAAAAAAAAATGTATCCAAGAACAGTTATTACATTGATCAATCAATTTCAATAAAATTTTCATCGTTTTTATAATACTATAACTATTGACCTCAAGAGTAGTCTTTTTTAACGTATATCCTTAAATATATATACTAACAAATAAATTAATAAAAATGAAATTAACAAAATATTATACTTGTTCAGCAGTAGAGGCAGCCTTGTGTTGGATATTTCCACCAGTCTTCGTTGCCTCATCAGTCTCTTGTTTAACAGCCTGTTGTCACGACCAGCCTGCTTGCTGACTCAAGCATGCTGCACGTTCACGTTGCTTACTGATTAAGTATACTTCAGGGTGAAGCAGACTTAAGAGCTAAGTTAACGACTCAGCAGCCATGTTCGGCAACTAAGCACCTTCGTTTCCAAGGTTGCGTAAATGCTCGCCACCCACGAGCTTTGTTTCCAAGGCTGCACCAATGCTTGCCACCTTGGGTTTCTTAATGCTGAAGCACATAGATTAGTCATACATTTACTTTGAGGAGCTTGAGCCTATAAATAGGCAACTCCACCATGTAAAGTTCATAACTGGAATTCCAGCAATACAGAGTTTATATTTTCTCTATACTTCTCTCTCGTTTATATACTTTTAGCCTGTGAGGTTGTGTGAGCGTTAGGCTGCTTGACTCATTTCCGACGAGTTAAGGCCGCACGAACTTAGTAAAGAAGTTAAGTGCGTGACACTGTGCCGTCTTATCCGTTGTAGCTTAAGCATCTTGATGTGAACTAGCCTATAACCAAAACAATTAATTAATTGCTTATTATGTATTACATATATGGGATAAATAATTTTTTTCCTCAAGAGTACATAAATAATAACCTTCATTGAGCGCAGCAATACATAACTATTAGGACAATATTACACTGACAAACGAATCTCACAAACTTTCTCTCGCAAACCTAACGTAACAACTGATAATTGGTTTCTATTGAATTTTCCCGCCTGATTAATTCATCAGAAACCAATTATCAACTATCACGGATGGTTTGTGAGAGAAAGTTTGTTAAATTCGTTTGTCAGTCTATCTTTATTGTAACTAGTATATTAGGGGTCTTTAATATCCTGCCAAGGTGACTACCGGGCATTACCCTATTCGGTAGGGTCGAGGAATTACCCACATTCTTGTGTATTGCACTCGAGATTGGGGACTAATATTTATCCCCAACTCAATACTGACCCCCTCATCGAATTTTCTTGCTACGCCTCTGCTACAGACCTACCATTGCTATAAAGTAAACTAAATACCTGAATAAATCTTGGGGCTCCAGCCACAAACAGCCTAGGATTCCAAGTGCTTCTTCTGGAAATTCCAACTCTAACATGACCAACCTTTGTGGCAGCTGTGATTAAACTTGCCATTTCTTCTTGTTTGCTTAATTATTTTCTGAACATATATTTTTTTGTTTTTTTTTTTTTTTTTGTTTTTTGTAATTAAGAATGAGAAAACTTTTGAACAGAAATTGAGTGATTAAATTAATGGATCAATAGATGGTCACTAGCTTTGGTGATTGCTGGTTGTCTTTGGCAGCTCATCCATCGACTTCAATGGTAGTTATACCGTTGTGATAGTCAAACGATGTTGGCATAATGAGTAGTGAAAGTGGTGTTTTGCTATGGGAGATAGGAAAAAATTCAATCTTGTTAGCTTTTATTTTTAAAAATAAAGCTAATATTTAATTATCAATTAAATTAAATAATTATTGACATAAAAAATTAGTTTATACCTTATATTGATTTGTAGGGTGTTTTAGTATTTATTATTTATATAATTAGTTTTTTATTTGAAAATCCTTCCTAAAGTATATGATCACTTTTCAAAATATTTTGATAAACATTTTTAATTTGTAGTATTAGAAGTAATTGATTATTTTATAAATTGAGTCGAAATAAAATCTCTTAAATGCTTATTGTTTTTGTAGGAAGAAGAAGAAGAAGAAGAATTTATGATGAAATATATTGAGATGTCGATGCAAGAGATTGTAATAATTTGATTTGTTCTATCATTCGCGCACGTGTGTGTGTGTGTGTATTACAAACATTAATGGTGTGTGTAAAAGCTTTTATGTTTATTATTTGTAATTCATGAATAATCATTTTTTCTCTTGTTATTTTTTATTGTATTTCGTTTTTGAGAGGTAAGGCTCATTACGTCTCCCTCTCTTTAGGTGTCATCTTTTTTTTTTTTTTTCCAATTAATAAAATTTTCCTCGTACTGTCAAGGTTTGCTTAAAAAAATTAATAGTATAAGATTTTATTTATGATGTAATTGAAATTTACTTATTATAAATTGGATGCATAGGACTTTTAACCTTATTGTTGTGAAAAATATCTAAATTCAAATATATTGTTATATTCGATCCACATAAAAATATATTTCAATACACTTGATCTCACATGAAAAACATATAACTTTATATAGTTATTTGTTTACATAAATGAATATGTCTCGAGTGTGATAAATTGATTTGCATAAGTTTTCACAAAAACAATAGTTTAGTAAAAAATTATAAAATATATAGTTATTAAATACTTCTTAAATTTTAAATAAAGACATATTATAAGTTTTTTTAATAAATTATTAAAAAAATTATAATTTTATTCATGAATTTTATTTTTAATACGATATATGCTTTAAAAACAAATAAAGAAATATTTTTATTGATTTTTGTTTGTAATATTGTGTTAAAAATCTTAATTTGGAATAAAAAAAATTTTAATAGAAAAAGAGATAGAATGAAGGATTATTTTATTTAAAAAAATTTATTTACTATATTATATGAGGGCCCCATGTGTCTCTTTTCCCGACTTTTTCATCTCTACACGAACGAACTAAGATTTAATTATTAATTAAATTTAAGTAATTACTTATATAAATAATTATTTTATAATTTATTAATTTGTAAGGATATTTTAGTAATTAACAATTTATACTCAGCCTGTTAATGCTCTGTAGAGGAAGATGAATTAACTGCCTGCTGTGAAAGAGATTGTGATGTAATCATTTGATTTGCTTGATCATTCTTTCATGTGATTGTATATAACATTAATGCTGTATTTAAGGATCTGAATTTGGGAACCCAAAACTCACTCAAAACCTTTGTGTTTTCTTGTTCCTTCAAAAGCTGAAACTCTGCCACCACTTCAAAGCTGGATTTGTTAAAGGCATTTTATGCAACATGTTTGATGAAATGCTTGTGAGGAATGGTTTCTTACACGTGGTGAGTTTGTTGCCAAATTATACATCTGCAGCATAATTGAAGCCAATACTTGGTACTGACTGGTTTGCTTGCTTGCAAACACACGACAATTACAATCTGACACGAGGTAATTTCCAACTACTTGCATTTACTTTTACGTATTTAATTAGATTGATAAGCCTAATTAATTTATCTTTCTGGTGTTGCAGTGCCTGAGCAGACCCCATTTAATTAGTTTTAGAACCCAGGCTCAACTTACTATACAAGCTTCCATGACTGCAACAGATGGTTAGTATCATATAACTGTTTTTGCTTTAAATTTAGTTGAACAAAACAATTTTTCAAAAAAATTTAATTTATATTCTCTGTTTGTGTAGCCAGATGCATGCTTATGAACATAAGGGTTCTAATATGGATTTTACCTTGGCCGTTTACTTATCTTAAAACTGACAATCGATGGAGGCTAATTTCCGTTTGGGCAATAGTCATTCCAGCTGTTTTTATTTTTACTGGACAGGTACTGTTTGTGAAACGCCAACTCAGTAAACAAAAGAGCTCTAATGTAACATGATGAGACTTTGTCTTCATCAGCAAACCAATAGAAGCTGCCTGTGTAGCACTGAGGCTTGCACTTTGCCACCGCCTTGAGCAGCTCGGGCAGCCGAAGCAATCTACTCCTGTGGCCCTCATGATCTGCTGGCTTGGCTGCTGATCTACTGTTGTTGTGGTGCATCTCTTTCTGAGTCTTGGTTATCTCAATTTAATTATGCTTTTAAGGTGCTTGATATATTGTCGCAATAAATTGTTTGGTTGCAGCTTATTTAATGAATATGAAGAATATGGCTTTGCCATGACAGGAAGCATTACAAGAGAAAAGGTTGGGTTGAATATATATTTATTGTGCAAGATATGCTCTTTAACTCTTTTGTTCACGACTGAGAAGAGTGATATGAAGATTCAAAGATTTATAATACTTATTCCACTTTTTATGGTTAAAAATGCTACAATTTCGTCTGACTTCAGACTTGCTCTGATTGTCTAGATCATCGGTGATCTATAAGCATGTATTAGACCATATGAAATATTCATTATGTTCTAGCCTTAAATTTTTGCATGCTTTTAAAAAATTTTCAGCTAAAACTTTCTATAGGTTGTCTCGAACAGTTCACACATGAGATCCTGCCCTTTCCAAGAAAGCAGAGCGATGCTTGTTTGGTTTAACAGAGGTGAGCTTCATTGCTTTCTTCTGCTTGCTGTGCCTAATACGTGTAAAGAAGAAAAGTCATATTTAAATATTAATTTCATTGTTGAGTTATTTAGTCTTGCCTTTGTGGACACCTGGTTCACTTTTCTAATTCCTTTTCACTCATTAATACTTGACCCCAAGCATCTGGTGTGCTTTATGTACCTCTCAACCTTCTTGAAGATTTCATACATCGAATTTACATAAGTAGATTCTACATTGATTTTAATCACGTTTTACTAGTATTGCCCCTGACATTCTTGTAGGAATCAGCAAGCCTCTATGCAAAGATGGTGTTGATTACTAATGGTCATTGAATTGGGTCATATGTAAACGTTCATGACGGTAAGCATATGTTACGTTATTAACATATGCTTTGTTGCATACTTTAATCTGTCATCAGACTTGATTTTAATTGTTATAAGTGAGTGCGATTGGAGCAAATTCAAAATTATAAGAAAACATTGAATCTTCATAAGTAGATTGCATTGATTGATTGCTTGATTTCCTTTTACAGGCATGCACCGTTGGTATTCTTGCTAAGATGCCTATGTGGAAATCTGGTCTTGAATACCAACAGGGTACTGGTCATGGAATTGGGTCTTAGCTAAACACTCATGAAGGTAAGTGGTGAATTCTAACAACTTGTATTTACTATATATACTTAACTAGATTGAGAAGCCTAATTAGTATAATAGTGTTTTTGCTTTAGCTGCAGTTTTCGCTAAATTTTAAACTTTTATTTGTTAAGAGCTCATGCTTATAAGGGTATAGTGTAGATTTTACCCTGGCCATTTACTTATCTCTAGAACCATTTCTCTAATGCTTTCATTTCTTAAACTTATTGTCATTCATGCAAATACATATTTTTTTTTCTGGCTTAGATTCACATAATGCAGTCTTATGTTTGCCCTGAATGAATTTCTGCCCATTTAGTTGACTCACTCTTTCCAAAGTTAATGGTTTTGTGTTATTGCTAGAATTTTTAAGGTTTTATATTTAATTAATTTCCTTTTGGTTAATGGCTATGGAGTTATCTTAGGTATGTTGTTAACACATACATTTTTTATCACTTTAATATGTTGGATACTTTAATCTGTGACTGGGGTTGTGTTATCCTAGAATCATTGGGATTTTATATGAATTATTAATTTGAATTTTCTTCTTAGAGCCCTGTTACTATGAGGATGTGAAGTTTGTTGTAAGATTAAAGAAAGTGATTTTGAGGACAAGGGTTAATTACTTGAGATTTGAGCACAAAGCAGGGGTAACTCATTCAAACTAATTAACTACTCTTCCTTGATTTTATCCATGGAAACAGTTGTTGGAAGCACCTTGGACTGTTTGTTTGGTGCAGCAGGCTGTCAGTTTGGTTTCTTACTTCACTATGAGGACACATTGGAACTTTAGAGAAGCAAATTAAGAAACTTGCTGGTATAGGAGAAGGTTAGAAGCCCAAATTAAAGCTGCTGAAAGGAATCCAGAAATTATAGAAATTGATGTTCTGGATGTCGGAGGTTGATTGAATCACTGCTGAAGATGAAAAACTTATGGAGGGTGAAGTCAAAGCAAACAAGAGGCGTCTCAATGAGTGGTGCATTAATCTCAAACAACGTAACCGACTCAATAAATAGGTAAGGAAGACGTTTATGTTGTGTTGATTACATCTTAAAATTTTGTAGCTTTTGTGTTTGAATACATTCCGGGTTTGTTCAAAGGCAATTCATGCATCATGTATGATGAAATGTTTGTGAGGAATGGTTTCCTACATGTGGTGAATTTGTTGTCAAATAGTTCAAAGAAGCATAAAAATGTCACTACTTGGACCTGATTGGTTTGCTCACAAACAAATGAGAATTATGACCTGGCATGAGGTGATTTCCAACCATGTGAATTTACTTATATGTACTTAATTGGATGATAAGCGTAATTAGTTTATCTTTTTGGTGTTGCAATGCTTGAGTAGGACATTACTTAATTAGTTCTTGAACCCAGGCTCAGCTTGTGCCTATACAAGCTTCCAAAAATTTTAATTTAGATTCTTTGTTTGTGTAGCCAGATTCATGCTCATTCTCATAAGGGCTGTTGTATAGGTAGTACCTTGGCCATTTACTTATCCTTAAATTATTGCTCAAGTTCTTACATTTGTTGAACTTGTTGCCATTCATGCATATACTTATTTGTTTCTCGCTTAGATTTACATAAGGCAATCTTATGTTTGCCTTGAATGAGGTTCTGCCCATTTAGTTCTTTTTGTCTTTCCAAATATGAATGTTGTGGTATTGCAAGAATTATTGAAATTTTATGTTAATTAATTTGAATTTGCTTCTATGAGGATGGAAAATTTGGTGTAAGTCTGTAAGATTGGAGAATATGCTTATAGTCAAAGAGGTGGAGACAAAATTCAAATTTGGTGAAAAGGGTTACTTGACATTTGAGCATTTAACATGGCGAAGTTAATCATATTTTTCCATTGGTTCCTCCCAATCTTTCTTTGCAAAACATATTTTTTGTATCACCAATATTCATGCTTCGATCATCTTTGTACTTTTGGTAGTTTCTTAATTTACAAATGATTTGTGTTGTCATGTATGATTTCTAGGTATTTGATCGTTAAAGAGAGGAATATGTGAATTGAACTTCTTTGATTTCTACATACTTGTAAAGAAAACATAGAAAATTTTAATGGTGTGTCATGAGAAAACTTGGAAGATTCTTATCGGTGTGTGAAGTATTGACCTTCTCACTAACCATAAAGTTTTTATTTTAAATTCAATTTTTATATTTCTTAGAAAGTTCTTTATTGAATATTGTAAATTTCCAATATGAAACATCAACCTGGCGAACAGTTTAGAAAAAAACAATTTATTCTGAAAAAAGGCAAGTATCAGAAAATGGCTCTGGAAATCTACAGATTTTAAATTGGATGATTTAGGTCTAGCAAAAAACACTCGAGTTATTGTTAATATTGTCTTTATTGTCTTAAATGTTTAATTAATATGATGAAAGATTGTTTAATGACATTAGACTTCAAATTGTATAATCTACATGAAATATATTGTTATTTTATTGACTCAAAGTTATGGCTCAAAATTGTCATATATGATATAACCATCAAATATATGATGTAAGCCTCCACATATTGACTTAGCTGTTTTTATCTTTTGGACTTTGCCCCTTTTGGAATAAATATGTCATTTTATTGTTCGAAAATAGATTGTTTTGAATTGTTAACAGAGATAAAATGGTCACTTTGTTTTCTTTATTCTACTTTCAAAATTATAATACGAAGGAAAACTTTAATAATTAAAAAAATGTTGTTAGAAACTTAAATACTAGAATGTGAAAGCTAGAAAACCTCCTAGTACCAAAACGTAGTCTTTCTATTGATGTTATCTTAATACGTTTATGATAATTTTTCATAAGTGTCACCCTTGAAGTGAATTCAGATAATTAATTTATTTTCTTCTCAGACTGTCATAATATGGTGAATATAAGTCCGTCTAGATTGAAGAACATCAAGCACATTTACAAGGCTCTCTGGCCAATATGGACCTTTACATAGTTTCAAGTTCTAATGTGGTTGCTGTGTATATACGTGTGTGTTTTGTTGAGTACGCACACATGTTGAGTGTACTCAGAGACAAATTTCTCAATAATGTTTACATTTATCTTATTAATAATAATTAACAATATATATATATATCGCAATTGATTTAACAATCCTAAATCAAATTCATGTTACTCATAATACATAAATAGTTTAAGAAGCATCCATGTAGGTTACTCTAAAATTTGGTAGACAAAGTATCTTCTGGCCTAAAAGAATATTAATGGAATGAGAGACATTCCTAACTCTGGCTAAAAATATAATAAAATAGATAGTGTGTAGTAGATTTGCTTTTATACATATTGATTTCTCTTTCGTGAGGACAAAAATATTTCTGCATAATTTAATTATATAATATATCAGCATTTGATTTTGAATAAATTAAAGATTCATCTAACACAATGACATGCTATAAAAGAAAAGCAACCTTGGGAGCGAAGGCGAAGGATGGAATCATTCATTTCCAATATGCATTACATACCTTCCTTCTTCACACCATTTAGTTTTCTTTGCTTTATGCTGCAACCTTTCTCTTTTTTATTTCGTATAATATTTCTTCTTCTTTTTGTGCTTTTTTTTTCTTTACTTTTATCATTTCAAGACGTAAATAATATATTATCAGAGTAGTTTAACACAAGAGTTAGAAATGAAATAGATTTTAAAATATACTCACATGATTTTATACGTAAAATTTGACTGTGTAGTAAATTTGCTTTTATACCCAGTTGATTGTATTCTTCATGATCAATATAGATATTGATTTTCTCTTTCCGAAGATATTTTTTATTGAATATATCTACATTTGAGTTTGAATAAATTAATTATAGATTCTAACACATTAAGATGTTATAAAAGTAAATAATGATGTTGTAACAAGGATGGAACCAAGCAGCCTTGACGACAAAGGCAGAAGATGAATTACATGCTTTCCTTCATATAAATCACTATTCTTTGCTCAAACTTTTCTCTTTTCTTATTTCATTTAAGATTGCAAAGGGAGAAACCAAATTACTCTCATCGTTAGAGTGTCTAAGATTGAATGATTTGTCAGAGTTGTCATATATATGGAAGGGATACCATCAATCCTTAAGCCTTCGTAACTGGAAAAGAGTAGGACTTTGGTCGTGCATTAAGTTAATAAAACTATTTTCACCACCTCTACTCCAAACTCCAAAGCCTTATTTGTTTGGAAGATATAAATATAACGGATTTGTTTGTATTCAAATGGAAAGTCGGTGTCTGGTAAGAATACAATGGCCTTTAAGGTTATAATATAAAAACTAAATTTAAAAAAAAAAAAAAAAAAAAGGTTTGAGAGAGACCCATTAAGATAAAAAAATCCAAACTGTAAAATAAATAAAACATAACTGATTAGAAAAATAGGTAAGAACAAGTTATGGATCAGATTTTCTATGTACAAAGAATCTCTTCTAATAACTTTTTTGTTATTTCTGATTATTCATAAATATTTTTAACAAAAAAAGAATTCAGATTAATATAATATACTTTATCAACTATATTTAAAAAATATTTTTATTTATTATTAGATTAATAATTACAGATTTTTTTTTTTTAAATAATACCCTAAAAGTGTCAAAGTTGATAGGGGTTATACGAAGCCATGAATGGGCCCTTCGGGGCCTTTCCAAAAATGTAGGTTTTTAGCTGGGCTATTGGAAAACACTAAGAGAGTTTGATGGCCCATTTCTCTATTGTAATTTCTAGACAAATTTCTAAACAAAAGGATAATTTTATTGTTTTTCATTTTCTTAAAATTTCTAAGTAATAGATTCAATTTTACTGAACACTCCATAAAATTTTGAATCATTAATTTTTTCTTCAAAAAAAAATAAAATAAAAAAATAGCACTTTAAAATTGATAGGAACATATATAAGTTTAGTCTCCTTAGGTTTAAACTTAAAGTACTAACACTTATATTAAGTGCGTTATTATGAATTTTGTGTTATTGTTTTATTTTTATTTTTTTGAGAATGTTGAAAATGATGAGAAAATGCAAAAAATGAAAATGCTATACTGTATGTTTCTCTAAAAACAGTACTTGAAAATGCGAAAAATGAAGACGTATTTGCTATGATTGTCTGAAAACACAAAAAATAAAATAAAAAAATACTAAAATTTATTACTACTAACACAATCGATAAAACTACTATAAAATACTACTTATGTTTGTGTCGAAGAACTTGTCCCAAATATGTTAATTATTGATTTTCTTGTAATATTGTGTTAAAAATCTTAATTTACTATGAAAATTTTACTTTAAAAAATGGAAGAGTAAAATAAAAAAGAGATAGAATAAAAGATTGTGTTGTGTTGAGTACATGTTAAAATTTTGAAGCAGTTTTGTGTTTTTATATGGTATGGGTTAGTTAAAGGCATCTCATGATACATGTTTGATGAAATGCTTGTGAGGAATATTTACTTACATATGGTGAGATTGTTGTCAAATAGTTCAAAGAAGCATAGAAAAAGTCACTACCTGAATTTAGTTATATGTACTTAATTGGATTGAGAAGCTTAATTAGTTTATCATTCTGGTGTTGCAATGCCTGAGCAGGACCCCACTTAATCAGTTTTAGACCCCAGGCTCAACTTGTGCCTATACAAGCTTCCATGACTGCAACAGATGGTTAGTATCTTTCTACTGCTTTTTCTTAAATTGTAGTTGTAAAAGAATGTTTTCTTAAAAATTTCAGTTTATATTCTTTGTCTAGTGTAGCCAGATGCATGCTAATGCACATATGGGTTTTATTATGAGCATTCCTTTGGCCATTTACTAATCCTATTGTTCTAGTGCTCACATTTGTTCAACTTCTTGTCATTCCTTGCATGAGGTGAGTTTTTGAAGTACCTGGTAATATGTGAAAACTACAGTCCTATTTATTTTGATAGAAAAAAACAAATATGAGGTTGCTTTAAATAAATAGAAAATTTATTGTTTGATTCAGTCTATACCTTGAATTTGAAGCATTGAGAAGACTGTAGGTTTGGCCTAGACTGCCTTGTTTTTGTGGACTCCAATTAAACGGATGAAAGTTTGATGTTGGTGGAGTGTTGTCTTGCCATGGCATTTTCATCTACAATATTTTATAAACTAACTTAAACAATTTATGTGCTAAGAAAATTAAAAAATAAAGTAAAACAAATAAACCTTTGGATCCAATCTGGGATGAGCTCAATAAACATGCCTTGGACATGTGATTATTATCATGAAAATTATATAGCTATTAGTGATTAAATAAACAATGCCTTCAGATATAGTCACTTGGAGAATTTGTAGAAATCTTTGTCAATA